AAAGGAACTGGAACTTTCACATTTCTTCTTTGCTCTGCCAACTTCCCAGGGCTTAATTTGTTGGGGCCCTTTGGTGTGTGATTCCTTCCATGAGTATCTGGAGAGTACTGACCCCCAGTACAGATTATCACTGGGACCAGGTCCTCTTTAGCTCCACGCAATATTTCTGTCTTTTATATCTAGCCTTAAAGATGTGTAAGATACAAATATTTATTGAGTCCCTAATGTGTATGTAGAAGCATTTGAGGTGCTGTAGGTATTATTTCATATAAGTGTATAAATTTAGTAGACTGCTTTCTTCTGATGAAAACCATTTGTGACAACATGTCAGTTGTTTCTTTGGGGATTTTTTTTTTTTTTTTGGTCACAGGCTTTCCCTACAGTTGCTGTGTAAATGAAATTGTTGACGGGGTTCAGTATCAGAATGTTAAACGTGTTAGTATTGTGATTTAAACCCTAACTACCTTCCTTCTCTCTACTGGGACTAGTTAAGTGTGAGGCCTCCAAGCTCCTATAATTTAATTCTGGGGTATAATCTTTTCCTTTCTCCCTAGCTCCCATCCTGAATCCTCTTCTCCCAACCCATGTGGAACTCTCCTGAACACATCCCCATCTGACACTGGGGTTCAGGTTCCAGGCCTGAGGCTGCCTTTTTGGACGTGTCTTTTGCCTCATTGCAGTCCCAGACCACGGAACACAGACGGGACATTCTCTTCCTCAGCTTCCTTCTTCCTGTCCTGGCTTTTGAGTCTTCCACATGGAAAATTCCATCCGTATCAATTGGTGATGGACCCATTTCTTCTTGTTGAACCATAGTCTGATGGAACTGCATCTAGAGCAATTGCTCAGATTCCTGTTACTTCAGTTGCAGCCTGAATGTTTTGGGAAGCTCTAGCACCTCAAACCATTTGCACCTATGAAAGCAGAACTTCATTTCTTCCTTTGGTTTAGCTTGTTTGTGAGGGGTAGATCTGAAACGACCTGCTCTCTGTTCATCCCAAGTTCCAACGCAGAGGGGGAGAAAGTTCTGGATGACAGACCTTCCCAGCAGAGGATCCTGCTTTATTCACTTTTCTCCCCAACCTTCAACTCTCAGCCTTGTGTCCTTTAAATAATCCTTCCTCATTCCACTTTTGTGGTGGGGGATAATTAGTCACAAGGTGATAGTAAGCCCTGTCTGTTAGAGAGAGGAAACATTCAGGGGGTGGAAGTGTAAAGATCCCAATCCTAATTCTTGGGATAAATGCTTCTAGGTTGAATGTTTTAAGACCAGGTTTTTAGCTTCTTGCCTGTGCATATTTTTCTGCTTTGTAATTTAGCCTGTATCTTTTTTTCATGTTCCTGCCTCATTGGGAAAATTGTAAGATTTAGAGGGAGGTCTGGGAAATACTCTTTGCCTTGAAGAATTCAGAGATCAGAAGTCCGGGTATTCTGCAGTACACCTCCGACCTGCCTGCCTTTGAACCCTTGTTTATTTGAAGTCTGGGTTCTCATTGGCCCACAGGGGTACATTGTAATTGTGTGTCTAAAAAAATACCTTTTGCATCCCCCAATAGCATGACAACTGGAATAGTAATTTGACTTAAAAAAAGGAACAACCTTGTGTTTTAAAAAACTCCTTTAGGAGTCTTAACGCTTTGTTGAAATCAGGTGTGGTTTTCTTACTCCCCAACCCCTGGACAAGGATGGGGGAATGTCTGAAAGGTGGGTTTGTTGCTAGAACTTCCAAATAGCTGCCCCCATGGGGCAAATTCTCAGCCTACCTAAACGTGAACATAATTTGCTCTGTTTCAGCTTGGCTGAAGAGGAAATAAAAACAGAACAGGAGGTGGTAGAGGGCATGGATATCTCTACTCGCTCCAAAGGTGAGTAAAAATCTTGTATTATCTATTCAAGAGCTAAGGAGGAAATTGGAATTTCTTTTTGTTGTTGTAGAGCAGTGAAGTGTGGCTTTCTGAGCTGACGTTGCAACTCTCGTCGGATTTTGATGTAGGACCTTTGATGGATGAACCTAATTTATGGAGAAATCTCCTCCTTTTGATTTTCTTTCCCTTGCGTGTCTGTGTAGGTGTGCCGACTTGTCGGGAATCGTCCTGACAGTAAATTTTACGTGTGTGTCATGACGGAGGGCGGCTGGCTACCTCTCCACAGGGTGACTTTCTGGAGTCAGAATTTAAATGAAGCATGTTCTGGAAGCAACCGGCGTCTCCAGCTGCTGCTAGTTTTCTGATTTTAACAACGGGCGGGCCTCTTTGGAATCAAATCGAAGAGGTGGGATGAAGTCAGCCCACTTCATTGGAAAACGGAGATCTTGGGTTAGAGCTAACAAGGAAACGCAGGGCTTTCTGGAACCCTGGGCTGGCGGTGTTTGCATTTACTTCAAAATTTAGCAAATTAGGGCAAGCACAGTTTATGTTTTTATTCAGAAGCCTGTAGGAGACTCCTCAGTGTCTTCTAATTGAGGGATTGGTACTTTTCATTTGGTCTGTGTGAGAGAGATTTTATGAGGCTTCCCAAAAGGAAGCAGTTACTCACTTTTGCCTTCAGGGTGCTTTTAAAAATGAGCTACTGGAGTATTTTTTCATATCTTTGGTTGACGAAAAGGCTCATCTCCAAACTTAATGGTTGTACCAAGGTGTTTTTATTCCTTCAACAAGTCAGCGAGTGCCTGCTCTGTGCGCACAGCCCAGCGCTCGGGGCCACGAGGAAGGAGGAAAAGGCTAGAAGAGGGGGTTACCGCAGACCCTACGGAAAGGAGATTCTGATCTAGCTAGAGTGTCGCAAAAAGTGACTCCTTAAAGGTCTCTGAAGCAAAAGGCGTTTTAAGGGATTTTGTAAGACAGCACGTCATTTTGGGCAGAGCTGGGGGTCAGATGGCCAAGGCTGTGACCTTGGACGCGGGAGCTGGCCGCTGTTCTCTGGCAGGGCTCGGAGAGGAGGGAGGCACCTCACGTGGGAAGGAAGGCTGCCAGGCCGGCTGGGGAGCGGGAGGAGGAGGTCAGGCCGGGAGAGTGGCCCGGGCCAGAGGGCTGCCCCTGCCTCACAGCAGGAGGTTCTACTACCCAGATGGTGAGGAGAGCCGCTGGGGCCGTTGAGCAAGGAAGGTGCCTTCACACAGAGGGGTTTTGAGACCGTGGATGATGAGGGAAGCATGTGCCCCTCGGCCACTTCCTGGTCCCCTGATGTGGTTGGAATTGATTGTGGTCCAGTAGGAAATGGGACAGAGTGGAGAGAGCCCAGAGAGGGGTGGCCAGCAGGGGTGGGTCTTGTCCTTGTTCTGCCATTCAGTCTCTTCAGGGGGTTTGGACACCCTGACTCTGTCCCTCTGTTTTCTTATCTGTGAAATGGAGTCTTGGATTAGATTCTATCTAAGATTCCTTCCATCTTGGGCTTGTAAAAATAGCACTTGCTGACAGTATTTCTGAAGACTCGTGCTCTTGCGGGGCCTTTCTCTTGTTGAACTCTGATCCCCTTACGGGGTAGGCGTCCTTCCCACTTTGCAGATGAGGAAACTTGTGTCTCATGGGCAAGTGGCATAGCAGGATTGCACTGAGAGCTGCTTCCTTCCCGGACACGCCATGTAGCCCCCTTGTGGAGACTTTTCCAGAAGGGTCAGAGTCAGGGATGGTCACCCAGGGCAGGAAGCCTGCCCTGCTCAGGCCCCACCTGTGCGTGGAGACCTCTCTCCTCATCTTCCTCTGTACCCTCCGGATGTTCCTAGCCCTTCACCAGGTGGCACCCCTCTCTGTGCTGCCTGAAGCATGACCACGCTGGGATGACCGTCGTCCCTTCTCTCATCCGCCCCACTTCCATCCTCTGCCCACAGCAGCCAGGACAATCTTACAAAACGTGGGTCAGATGCTGTGTCATTTTGCCAACTCCTTCCAGTGACCTTAAGCTCAGGTCTGAAGTCACTTCTGGCCCGCCTCCCTGGGCCAGCCCCGTTTCACCTCCGTGTCCTTTGAGACCTTCGGTTCACCTTGTCCCATTTCTCCCCTGACTCCGCTTGGCCTCCTCCTCCTCTGTTCCTCCTTGGAGCCCCTGCGTGTCCTTTTCCGGGAATGTGTGGCCCTGGGTCCTGGCTGCCTGTTTCTCGTTGCTCAGACTCGGCTCAGATGTTGTCTCCTCAGAGAGGCTTTTGGCGGCCACCTTGTCTGAAGGAGTCATTCCGTCATTTTTTACTATATTTTAAAAACTGAACTTTTTTTTTTTTTTTGAGACAGAGTCTCACTCTGTTGCCCGGGCTAGAGTGCCGTGGCGTCAGCCTAGCTCACAGCAACCTCAAACTCCTGGGCTTAAGGGATCCTCCTGCCTCAGCCTCCCGAGTAGCTGGGACTATAGGCATGCGCCACCATGCCCCGCTAGTTTTTTCTGTGTATTTTTAGTTGTCCGATTAATTTCTTTCTATTTTTAGTAGAGACGGGGTCTCGCTCTTGCTCAGGCTGGTTTCGAACTCCTGAGCTCAAACAATCCGCCCGCCTCGGCCTCCCAGAGAGCTGGGATTACAGGCGTGAGCCACCGCGCCCGGCTTCAAAACTGAACTTTTAATTTTCAAGTCGTTTTAGATTTTCGGCAAAGTTGTAAAGACAGTGCTGAGAGTTCCTGTGTTAGCGTCCGTTACTAGCATCGTGCATTCGTATGGTATGTTTGTCAGGGTTAATTACTCAATAGGGCATGTTATTACCCACTGTTCTTCATGCAGATTTCCTTACCTTTTCCACTAGGATATCACGTTACATTTAGTTGTCATGTCTACTTAGGCTCCTCTTGACTGCGACAGTTTCTCAGACCCTTCTTGTTTTTGATGACCTTGACAGTTTTGGGGAGTACTGGTCAGGTATTTTGTACAATGTTGCAGTTGGGATTTGTTTGATGTGTTTCTCATGATAAGACTGTGGTGTAATGGGCTTGGGGTGGAAGACCACGGAGGTAAATTGCTATTTTCATTACATCGTATCATAAGGCACGTAGGCTCTCTCCCTGCTAATGTTGACTTCTGATCACCTGGCTGTGGTAGAAGTTTCTTCTTTTTCTATATTGTGTTCTTTGTTTTTTTAAAAAATTTTTTTCTCCTGCCCTTAGAGGTCACTGTACTGTGCTCTTTGGAAGGACGTCACAATGCGTGGCCCTGGCCACATGTAAGGAATGAGGGGTTGTGCTCGACCTTCTGAAGGGCAGAGTATCCACATACGTTGTTTGGAATTCTTCTGTACCGGGTATTTGTCTCCACTGGACTTGAGGGCAGTTACTTTACACTTTTGGTTATGATCCATACTACCAATTTATTGTACTGCTCACGTAGTTCCAGCTTTGGCAGTTGGGAGCTCTCCCTGTTGGCCCTTGTGTCCCCCTGACAGACCCTATCACTGTGGGGTTTGTTTATTTCTTTACTTACTGAGCACATTGTTACTTTTTGGCACTGTAAGATGTCCCAGGCCCATCTTGTATGTGTTCTGCCTCAGCCCTAGAGTTAGCCTTTTCTCCAGCGACTCTGGTTTCTTTTGTTGAAGAATGTGTTAGAATCCAAGATCTGGGTGCTAGGTGTGCTCATTGCTACTGGGGTGTGTTTGCTTCTAGGTTCTCTCAGTCGAGAGAGCAAGGAAGTGTGTATACTCATGTATTTATCTGTAAGCATTTCCATGTGTACCCGTCTGTGTCTGAATTAGCTAAACACGAGTTTATACACTTGTCTCCAACTCTTATCCTTCATCGCACGGATCATTCTAGGCTTCTCCCCTTGCTTATCTAACCCCCCACCCCACCAGTAAGAAAGCTGGCTCCCACCATCCTCCATTCATTTGCTATTTTCTGATACCTTTTAACCTGATCTACAGTATACAGCTGGATGCACTTTAACACATGTATGCACTCCTGGGACCATGACCCACATCAAGATAATTGAACATTTCCAGCATCCAGAAGGTTCCTTGATCACTCCGATTTTGTTTGTAGCCCTCGTCAGGACCTTGTACTTTCTTATTTGTTGTGTTGCTGTGTCAATGTAGGTTCCTCCTCCTATCTTTTTTTTTTTTTTGAGATGGGGTCTTGCTCTGTTGTCCAGACTGGACTGTAGTGGCTGTTCACAGGCACAGTCGTAGTACACTACATCTTCCTGGCCTCAAGTGATCTTCCCACCACGGGCTCACGACCATCTGGGACTACAGGCACACACCATTGCACCCCACTTGTAGGCACCTCCTTTAGGTGGACCTGGACCGTCAAGCCCACCTTTCTCTTCCATTCGAGGGTCAGGATGGCATAGACATTTAAAAAAATCTGGTTTCTAGAGCCAGACTCCCTGGTTCTGGCTTGTCCTCTTCCTAGCTGAGTTATTCTTTGTGGCTCATTTTCCCCTTGTATATGGGGATGATAAAGATGGAAGGTTATGGTTAAGATGAAATTTGCTCACCCATACAGAGTGCTCAGAACAGTTCCTGGGACATGGTGAGTGCCTGAAAGTAGTAGCCATGGTTAGAGTCGACCTGGAGAGAGACAGTGAGCTTTTACTGTTGGTCTGTCAGGTGGTGAGAGCTGCTCGCTGTGTTCTGCTGTTTGCTTAACTTGCAGCCTCTAGGAAGAGAATATGGTGGTAGATGAGGAAACCATGCCCAGACAGACCCCCTGCACTACAGGGGCACAGCTGAGAATTACGCAGGGCTGCCTAGCAGGCAGGCTCGGAACCAGACAGAAATTTACTTCTCTCCGTCCGATGCTCTGCTCTGCGCTGCTCTTGCAGCTTCCTGTCCTGTCGGCCCCTGCAACATGTGCAGAAGCTGTTCTGCAGCTGTTTGGAATGATTTTTCCTAGGTGCTTCGGGAGCTCTTGCTTTGGTGGGAGTCACTGAGGGGAAGGGGTCACATTGTTT